TGTCTATACAGATATAGGTGTGTCTGTATAGACATAAAATATAAAAAAAGTGTCTAGTAATTAAAGTTAAATAGTTTTCCATTTTTCTGAAACATTCTGCTTGATAACAAAAGTATMATTTTCTTTGGACTTTGCTGCTTTTTCAGTTATTTTCAGTCCAGTACTTCATCATTTTCAGATAATTGTTTTATTTTGTTCTTATTTTATGGCCCAGAAATCATTCAGATATAAAAAGGCTCCTAAACTCAAGTGATGAACCAGTTTTGTGCTGATCCGTGACAGACAACTTAGCAAAGAACCAATCTTTAAACTGCAGTGTTTAGGCACTTTTTTTTTACTACTACACTTAAATAAATTCAGTCTTCAGATGGAAGTTGTATTTGTGTTATTTTTCCCACTTTGTGACAGATGATGAATTTTGTTAATTTGACATGATCCTTTATGCAAACAAGAATCCTTTCTGTATTTATGTGGGTCAAGATAAGATTGTTTGGTTCAGTTTTTCCTCTCTCTGCACATATAATGAACCCAACAGTCATGTGGAGAGAACACTACACAGATCTGCATTAAAACTTGATGCATGTTTGCTCCACAGCTTGTGACTGCGACCCGGACGGTTCCCAGAACGGGGGGATGTGTGACAGCCACAGTGACCCCTCGCTCGGCACGGTGGGCGGTCAGTGCCGCTGCAAGGCTAACGTCGAGGGCCCCCGCTGCGACAAGTGCAAGACTGGGTTCTTTGGCCTGAGTGCAGAAAACCCTCAGGGCTGTCAGCGTAAGTGTCAGCTTCGAGTTTTAGATTGTCTCCTCCTCTTTGCTCCAACTCGTCCATTAAAGCAACAGTCAGCGACGGTCCTCATCCCTTTTWGGTTGCGACTTTTCAGCAAAATTCTCATAATCAAATCTGTAATGTGTAACTAATCATACACCTAACACTTGTTCATCCAACTTTTTCTGTCTTTAACTTTAAGCTTGTCAGTGTGACCACAGAGGAACCGTGTCTGGCAGCTCTTTGTGTGACTCGTTCAGTGGAGACTGCATCTGCAAGCGTCTTGTCACCGGACGCAGCTGTGACCAGTGTCTGGTGAGAAGACACACTGTGTTTTAGTTCCAATTTACAGAAAGTAAAGTGTGAATGAATGAATGTCCGTCCGTAGATAGGTAGGTAGGTAGGTAGGTAGGTAGGTAGGTAGGTAGGTAGGTAGGTAGGTAGGTAGGTAGGTAGGTAGGTAGGTAGGTAG